GATGACTTGGTAAATACCGTTCCGCCACAGAATATGGTAAACTTCCCTCGTTGTAAAAACGTATAGATCTGTCAACATAATTGCCTTGCACTTCTCTTCAACCTGACAGCTTAGTTTAGTCACATGACCCAATTGTTCCTTGGAGTTTATCCGCCTTGACAACAGGTTGTCAAGGTCCGCTTCGAGATAGCCAATGTCGGCTAAAAGTGTTTCTGCCATTTGTTTGTTAACCTTTTTGGAATTTGTCTGGGTATGTGGTATTGCGGGGCTATCTTGTAAATTACTTTTTATTGTAGCTAAGGGTGTACTATCATTAGTACTAAGCCGTTCCATATTTCGACAAAAATCATCATTTGAACATAGATCATTTTGGACCAAGGTTTTACCGTTGTTAGATCTTGATGTTTGCTTCCTAACTGCTGGATCATACAACAATCTGTTTGGTGAAATCAAACCTCTATCATACTCATTTATATCCCCTTCAGACTCAGACGATTCTTTCGTATTTTGAACGTCAAACCTAACGGTTTTAGATACAGTCGTTTGCCCTGGAATTGTTTTCGTATTAATCAACCCATTTTTATTATTTGTAGTACGATTTTGCTCTTTTGGAGTCACTTTCTTCGCTACGCCTTTCTTTTTTGAGCTCCCTGAAGCTTTTTCAGCTGGCAAATCTTTCTCCTTTCGTGGTCGATCGGGTAAAGTATTTTGCTGACGTGAAACTCCGCGCTCCTTGTTTGAGTTGGTGCCACCTTTAATCTTATTTTTTGTCTCATCGCGAGGAGTTTCTTTAGTTTTCTTAGCAGAATTCGAAGGAGTTGTCCTTGAACCTCTATTATTCCTACTTCGAGGCTTTTCTAGCGTTTCCGCGAGCTCTTTTAACTCCGAATAAGTGCATCGTATGACTTTCAAATCGTCTTCTTTTGACGCCATATTGTTGTTTGTTGTGAAAGGTGTTTCCACATACAGGAAGTGATTTTTAATTACTCGAAAGTTGCTGACGTTGTCAAAAAATTCCCTTCTACCGTCGTCCGCGTCTACGAGTGAACAATCGCAAATAGAAACATTGTTTGTTCTCGCATGAATCTTCAAGTTTGTAACGAACATGTGAAAGCTTCGATGAACTCATTCAACCAGTGCTAGACTGATTAGACATATTAAAACCGGTCGAATCATATGGTTAAATGCCCTTGACAAGCATTGAAGTTTTATTTGCGACTGTTCAACCTTTAGAACAAAATCTCCTACAACCTCACACCCAGGGCCGCCCAGAGGGGGGAGGGGACAATTTGTCCCTGGCCTCCAGCTAAAGGAGGCCCCTAAAAAATGCTAAAACCCACAGTTGAATATCCTCTCAGAATGCAGGAATTGCTATTCTAGGCCTGGCTCAAGATTTCAAAATTTTCCCGAAACGTCGAAATTTTGCTTGTTCTTTTAAGGTAATGTCTCTCAATCTGCAGCATTCTAACTTTAAAATAGTTTTGCATGACAACTAGCTGGAAAGGAGTGGTTTATACTCAAAATGTGTATTGTGTAATAAAATTTTAATTAAAATTTTTTGGTATGAATCAGTAAAATAAAGAGGTCTGTTATGTTAGTCAATATTATGTTTCTTGTTCAAATTTCTATTCTGCAATTGTTTCAGTATTTTATCTGCGAACATATTCAGAACTTCCTTTCTTCTCTGTTGGTCACTAGTCCTCTTAACTTGTCCATCACAGGGGGTCAGACCTCTTTCCCAGTACAGGAGGGATATATTGATGAACATGCATTATTTGCGGAGTGTGATTTTGTAACGGAAACTCCAGATCTCCAGGATTCACGTCCACATTCACTGTGTCTGATTTCAGTTTAACGTCGGCTGTGAATTGTGATGCCATCACATCCATACTGCCGGCCTTGTGCGCAACCTAAAAAGATTCAAGTTTGATTTCTTATCCTATGTACTGGTGTCTAATATTATAACACTTAACTTCAAAAACTCATTAATAATTCAGGAGGAAAACATAAAGAAAAATCATAAGCGTGTCGTGGTTTTATATGTGATAAAAAATCATGTTAATTTGTTAAAGTTAGGCATGTTAAAGTTTATGTAAAACTTTAGCTTTGATTTTCTCGGTTTAGACAAAGTTTATTTTAAAAATTACTTCGCCAATGAACTCGTATAAGATGAGTCGTTTTTGAAGCCATTTAAAGCACTTGTAGTCGTGTTTTATCATATATAAAACACTCCGCTACGCGTCGTGTTTTATATGTGATAAAAGACTCCTACGCGTGCTTTAAATAGTACATAACAACAATGATCCAGTGATCAGAATGTTTCATTGTCTTTTCATTGTTTTGAGAATCTCACTATTCTCCATGCCATCCAGTCATGATCCAATGATCAGAATGTTCCATTGTCTTTTCATTAATTGTTTTGAAAATCTCACTATTCTCTATGCCATCCAATCACTTATTGTTTTGATATGTCTAGTGTCTTCTGCATGTCATTCTGGTGGGGAAAGTCTAGAAGAAAATGAAGCGTAAACATCCCCCAGGCCGTGCATAAAACAAAGAGAGAAGACTAACATTACCTCGAACTTCGGCTTTTGGCCAGCAGGAATACACTTTGCTTGTATGATCAGGAAAATCGACAAGAAAACACAAACTAAATTCCTTTCCACTAATCTCATCTCGGTAGCTTACATCTTTACTTTCTCCACAAAATTTGTTGGATTAAGAATAATTCCATGTGCATAATATTGCAATCATGCGGTTAATCGCCAAATATTAATGACGCCACTTTAGTCTATACAACCTGTTACTGCAAGCAGGTAATCTATTGTCATCTTTATTTTTTCTGTTTTATTTAGTCTTTAACTTAGTATTTTCTGAATAAAATGTTAAATATAAAATGGAAAACGTTTGGAACAGTTTGTATACCAAGTGACGGCACGTTCGTAACAAGATAAGTTTCTTTAATTAATTAATTCAAACATTTTAACTTCGCCACTTTCTGAACAGGAAATACGATGTGTATGCTATTAGAAGTATATGTTATCTTCGCTATCCTAACAGAGTTTACTATGGTCTTAGCATCAAATTCGCCCGGCGAAGGTACAGGACAAAAAGCTCATTTTTCTTTGGAAGATACACCGGGTTCATTTACCGTTCATGCGAATAAAATCTTGGCAAAAGTTTCATCAAAACCAGACTCAATTAAAGTCATCGTTAAACCAGGAATGGCCGAGTTCCCGGTACCGCAATTGCCAACACAAAAGCCGTTAGTTCATGTCGTTTTGCCCGCTATAGTCAGACCTGTTGGAGGATGGAATTTTATGAGCTTTGGTCGGAGGAAACGGTCAAAAATCGAAAATGGAAACGAAAGTTCGTTGGAAGAGAGTGGTGAAGGAGATGGAAAGCGTAAACATTTTGGAAAGAATCTTTTTAAAAGATCAAGGATTCATTCTGGTCATTCTACCGTTAGAAAATATATTGTCAAGCCAGAGAAACTAGGGAATATACGGTCGAGAATTGAAAAGGAAAGGAAGGGGAATTCGTTGAAGGGTTTTGGTGAGGTAGATGGAAATCATAAACATTTTGGAAGGGATCTTTTTAAAAGATTAAGGAGTAAAAATACCGTCAGAAAATCGCTAGTTAAACCAAGAAAAGGGAATAAACAGACTAGATCTAAAAACATCAATATTGCAAAAAGATTTGGACAGGCAAATAGACTACATAGAAGATTAGACATTCATTGGAATTCCAGGAAATTCAAGCAAGTTAAATTAGGAAATGATCATGTGAGATCAGGACAAAAACGAGAGTCGATTGAAAGAAATATGAAAGTGAAGGGTGGAGCAGGCAAGTTCAACCTACATGTTGATAAAAAACTGACGAATGTGTCAAGCTCTACTGGTGGAGTGGAAATTTTTATAAAGAATCCATCGCCAAAGCAAATATCGCAACTACCGCGAGAAATGTTACAATTACCGGGCGCGATGTTACAATTACCCAGTGGAATGTCGCAATTATACAGCGGAATGCCGCAATCACCTGTGCCAGTATCGCAAAATCCTACAAGAATATCTCAGCTGCCCAAAGAAAAGCCTTGGGTATTAGTTAGGTTGCCTTACGATTGGACTGGTGCGTCAAACCAGGACGATGATGAGTGATAAATAATGTTATTCTTTTCATTATATGTGGCATTTGGTGATTAATAAAATAGAATTAAAACCTGGGGCCGATTGTATAAAAAAGTGATTAAAGTTAACTATAGTTAGTGGAAACGTCATCCAATAAAAAGCGCGTATTTGAGAGTTAATCACTATTTAACTACAAAATAGTGATTAAAAAAGTGATTAAGAGTTTTATACAACGGCCCCTGGTTATTTCAGCAGCGAACGAAAAAGAGTTAACTACTTTTTAACTGCAGTTAGCGCTAACTACGTTTTTATACAACCGGCCCCTGGTTTACACTGTCAAAGTTTCTGTGATCACAGTAGGAATTTTGCATAGGTAAATTCTAAATTTTGAAGGATTTGTATGAAATGTTTCAGGAAACTGACTCGGTGTTTAACAGTGTGTCAGTTTCCTCAAACATTTCTTACAAATCTTTCAGAACTTAGAATTTATACCTATACAAAATTCCTACTGTGATCACAGAAACTTTGATAGTGTAAGCAAGCAGTTCAATTTTCTTGGTCTCAAGAGTCTCAACATCATTGAAGTTGATCACCAGCTGCTGTCGTGTAACGTTTAAGCCTGGTTGAAACCAGTGGTTTCCATATGGTCGCAAAGATTGAGTCACGATCTTTCTCAGCAGCCGAAATACAACAGTTTAGAACTGAACATAGGCAGAGTAATTACAAATAGAGAATACGTATGATTTGTATGTGTTTTGCAGGTAAAAATTATTATAATCTGGCCGTTGAGAAAGATAGTGACTCTATCTTTACGTCTGTTACGACCATATATACAAGGGACAAAAGTGAAAAAAACAAGACATTCACTTGATTTTTGCTTTATATATTATATCTATTTTGAAACTTGTGCATGCATTAAATAAATGTACACTGTACAGAAAGTTTCGCATAAGTCATTAGTTCTTTTAGTCACTATCATCAAAAGTAATTTTCTTTCCTTGAAATTTTGTCTGACTGATATTTTGTTGAAGTTTTCTTCGTTTGCTTGCTTCCCAAGAGGGATGACTTGCCGTTTCTTCCACAGAGTTCTCTTTTCTCTTGGCGCCTGCAAGTAAAAATCAGATTTGTAAGTCTTCGCATGACAACAATGCCATCCAGTCATGATCCAGTGATCTGAATGTTCCATTGTCTTTTCATTGTTTTGAAAATCTCACTGTTCTCCATGCCATCCAGTCATGATCCAGTGATCAGAATGTTCCATTGTCGTTTCATTGTTTTGAAAATCTCACTGTTCTCCATGTCATCCAGTCATGATCCAGTGATCTGAATGTTCCATTGTCTTTTCATTGTTTTGAAAATCTCACTGTTCTCCATGTCATCCAGTCATGATCCAGTGATCTGAATGTTCCATTGTCTTTTCATTGTTTTGAAAATCTCACTGTTCTCCATGCCATTCAGTTATGATCCAGTGTTCGAAATGTTCCATTGTCTTTTCATAATAGTTTCATTGTTTTGAAAATCTCACTGTTTTTCATGTCATGCAGTCATGATCCAGTGATCAGAATATTCCATTGTCGTTTCCATTGTTTTGACTTCTTCTAGATTTATGAAAACTAAAAGCTACGTCCTAATTCGTCCATAACTATTCGCTTTAACCTTAAAATATTAGAATAAGACTAACCTTTATTCATGTTTGTTTCTTGTCTCGGTTTTTGATTTGCATTCGTCGTCAATTTCGTGCGAGTCTTGTCCTGTTTTGGTTTTGCCATTTTATCACTGGACTTCACGTGGTTCGCTTTCTTACCATACTGTTCTTTCCAAACTCTAAACAATTACAAAGACCTACAATGTATAACAACGTTTGAGATATCATCTCAGCAATAGAATAGGCATTTATACCTTTGTCTTGCTCTTTGCCCCATTCTGTTTGATGATTTCTTGCGTTCCTAATATAAAACAAACGAATATTTTAGTAAATTCGTAAACCTTGTTCAAACGAAGATAAGAGTTGAGAAACGAGAGTTTGCATGAGAGTTTTCTCAACTCTCATGTCCTGGTCAAACGAGAACAAGAGTTGCATGAGAGTTGATGAGAGTTGAGAAACGAGAGTTTGCATAAGAGTTTTCTCAACTCTCATGTCCTTGTCAAACGAGAACAAGAGTTGCATGAGAGTTGATAAGAGTTGAGAAGCGAGAGTTTGCATAAGAGTTTTATGCATGTCCCGGTCAAACGAGAACAAGAGTTATATGAGAGTTGATAAGAGTTCAGAAACGAGAGTTTGTATTAGAGTTTTCTCAACTCTCCTGCATGTCCTGGTCAAACGAGAACAAGAGTTTTAGAGTTGCATGAGAGTTGATGAAAGTTGACTGGGTATTATCGCGGGCATGGCGAAAACTCTGATCAAAATTTGAACCAGTTCAAACCCACGAATATATGGTCAATGTCAGCTAGTCTAATACCTTTTGAGGTTTCTTATTGCTTCTAGATTTATTATTTAAGTTGTTCTCTTTCTGTTTTCCAGGTTTGCTATTTTGTCTTGTGCTATGTGGGTCACGTTTCTTCACAGACGATAAACTCTGAACAAAAAATGAGCTTGGAGTTCTCTCCAGTTCTATTTCATTGTCTGACTGGCAAGAGTCATTGTCACTTGCTGAAGAAGGTATCGATGTCGGGATGGTGGGAATGGTGAGATTTTCTTGCTTCAGTTTGAGCTTTGTCTTGGCTTTCTTTGCAGATCTAACAGCTGGATCATTGAGGGAGGATTGTACTGGTGAAGGAAAAGAGAAATAGGAAAAGAAATTAAAGTCAAACGACTGAGAAAGGTAAGTACTAGGAGGAATGAATTTTGTGATACACAAGAATTAAACAAGGTTACTTTTTGCACATGTAGTATTTGATAGTTTTAAATGATCCTGAATTGGTTTTGATGAAATGAGTCGATCCAAAGCGCGTTGTTCAACCTCCTCTGCAGTAACCTACAACATACATTTTTGTTACAAATGTTAGATTGGGGATGAGATTATTTAGATTGGATTTTTGTGGCAACAGTTGCAAATCCAAGCAGGGGACAAGTACAGATTTAGAAGCGCACCTATCCAAGGGTTGTCGATATTTTCACGGAGGGGGTATGTGGTCCAACAAAGATATTTTTAGGGGGGGTGACCAGCCTAGATATTTTCAGGGGTGTGGGGTGGGTGGGTGATTCATACTACTGTATATATACAAGGGGGTGATCCACACTATATATTTTCAGGGGGGGGTCTGGATTTAGAATGTCCCATACTTAGGTAATATCAAAATTAAACCTACCACCATAGAATCACTTGAGTCTTTATTTTGGATCTTTTTTATGACAGTATCGATTTCAAGTTCCTGATGAATAACAATACATATAAGTTGTAATGCTTTGATCTTAGTGATATATAATATTTATTTATTTGATCACAAAATAAAGCATCAACTTTTACGTTACTTTAATATACTCAAGTTCTTCATAAAATCTAGTTGCTTTTCTCGTGTTTTTCTCAACTTGTTGCTCTGTCCCTCTATAAAATAAGAATAAAATACTCTGTCTAACACCAGACGATTTTACTTATCAAGGAGAGAGTGCTGTCACTCAATGGGTTAACTAAATGCACAAGCAGATAATCTGATTAATCCATTGAGGGTCAGCACTCTCCCCTTGACAAGTAAAATTGTCTGGCATTAGACAGAGTAAAATAATATATATAGGGTACATTGAGTAATTTGGCCATATTGATAAGATGCACAAGGCAATATACTACCATACCTTTTATTTTTTAACATTTTAATTCTTCTTGTGAGATGTTGTACGGCAAAGATCTTTGCTCTCTTTATATCTTTCTGTAAGGCTTTCTAAATTTGACAAAAATCTTGTAAGATGGAAAACTTGTTTTCAAAACAATAAAAACACTTTTCAGTCATGTTCCAAACAAAGTCTGGGAGAGTAGGTAATTAATAATGCCCAACACTTTTTTCTTTTAGTTTTTTTAATTTTTTTTCTTTTCCCTTGATGAGTAAAGTCATCTGGTGTCAGACAGAAAAAAAATATAAGTTCACAGAATAGAGACCATACAGACTACAGAAAGCCAGCCAACCCCAAGTGTAACCACTGCCATGATTCGCAATAATTACTTGGGTGACTATGTCAACCGAGTCATAAATTCGGTTTGTTTGTTTTTTTCTCTGGTATGTGAGTCGGCCAAGTAAATGCCTACTTGTTCGTCATAACAATGCTGTCGCCATTTTTCTAGCCAGTGCGGTTATGAGAGGCATTCACCCCCTTGAACTTGTACCATTTTGAATATTTTCAGGGGGGTGAATGGCTCTCATAAGCCGGGTAGGACCATGGCGACAGCATTGCAACAGTACCTAATAATTAAATAATTTATCCATATTAAGTTTAGCCAGATTAAGCTAGGTTTACCAATCTGGATCAAAGGATTAGATTAAAATGTGTTCACTAAAACCGTTACAGTAATCTGCTTGGATTTAATAATATCATATATGGATTTTTACGATTTTATATACTGTATATCGAAATCAAATCATTTTTAATACGATCACAAGAGTTTTCCTACCGTGTTTCTAGATAAATTTTCATCATCCATATTTTCAGAGTCTTAGATATACTTGCAGATACTTGCAAAAATTATCCAAGTACAGCGATTGTAAGAAATAGAAAGAAAATAAAAATATTTACTATAAACAACTTCAATGTTTTCATTTAGGCAAGCCTGCACGCCTGATTCACAGCCTGGATTTTAGGGTGGTGTTCACACTCCAGTCACAAAGTTTCGAGATCAGTGGGAAGAAAAATGGCAGATTTAAATCACTTTGCTGATCAACAACAAAATGATTTTGGGGCCGATCAAGAAGTAGCAGCCGTTCTTGGAGGCCGCTGTTTAGGTTAGTATAAAGTACTTTTACTCGTTGTTTGATTTCATAAGTTTTGAGCAAATAGATAATGTATATCTCCTCTGTTTGTTTAATTGTTTACGTTCGATATTTGTGTAAAGTGCACGTGGCTTTTTGTTTTGAAATGTGACAATTATGCACAAAGTAAATAAACATGTGTTTCTTTGTTAAGCAGATGTGCCCGTACAGCGTGGTCGATCCAGCTCCAGCAAGTCAAGCAAGAGTAGAGATTCTGCTTCGAGTATGGACACCGTTAAGGTTTGAGATTTTTCAAGTTTTTATTAATAATTTATTTTAATATAAAAGAATTCAATTATTTATGCATAGCTTCAATTGAATAGCTTCAAGTTGTATTATTTAATATTTGGAAAGCGTTCAAATAGTTAATTACGATTCCTAGAATTATGTGTGGTTGTAGATGCAATGTTTTGCTATAAATTTGTACAGCAGATCTGTCAGTTTTTGTCTACTTCAATCTATTTTCTTTCACTATAAATGTATTTATATTATTACAGATATATTAATTACTATTAAATCCTACATTTAAATTACTAGGTCATGTATTTTACAAACAAAACAGTATACAGTTGATAAATGTTATATTTTTTTAGATCAAATGTGAAAATGTGACTCCTGTTTCAGAAAGCAGCTACGACAGTGACATTGCACATTGTAAGTTTGTACAATTTTGGACATGAACTTCAGACCACTCCTTACGTTATTACATGTACATTGACAAAGCAAACTTTGTAAACCGTACCCTCCCACCTTCTATGTTGTGAACAACGTCAGAACAACTTTTGGTAATTTACTATGACAGGAAGTTCAACATGGAGTTGGGGCTTAAAAGAAGTGAAACATAATTTTACATTTTGAATTTACCATTTGTATTCTCAACCATGATTGATTATCTGAATGATTGATTATCTGAATGATTGTCTGAATGATGATTATCTGAATGACTGTTTATCTGAATGATTGATTGATTATCTGACTGATTGATTATCTGAGACTAGTCTATTGATTGATTGCCTGTATACTGTAATTGGTAATTTTTCTGAATGACTGATTGATTATCTGAATGACTGATTGATTAATTATGAGTGACTGATTGATTATATGCAGGGGCGGATTCAGACAGGTTTGACAGGTTTATATAAACCTGTCAGATTTTCCAAAGAAAGAAAATCTATAACCTTCCATGTACATATATAACTAATTTAAAGAATATTCTGTTTCATAAACTTGATGTTGTCTAATCTATTATGCCATTTAAATACTCTTATTGAAATTTGATTCTGGATTACCGAGCGTATTTAGACCCACTTACATAATAAGCATTTAATTAATTAAGGACTTATCGCGCTGGTTTCCTCTTACGAAATGTTGTAATACTAGACAAATAATCTGCTAATGTATCGTTGTGGGTCATGGACTGAAACATCGCATGAATAACACATAACCGCCCGCAATTATGAGTAAACCGGTGGTCGGAGTTTTCTCAATGAGAGTAAACCGGTCGATACGCCATTCGATTGGCTAAACGGCTGCGCTCCGACGGATGTAAACCGGTCATAAACCTGTGAGTCGAGCAGTATTTAGAGAGAACTGGGAATGAAAGTTAACAGAACTTGAGGACGCGCAAAATATGTTTATAATTTTGCGTGACTGAAGTTGCGTTGGCGATAGAAGCATTTACATGGATTTCTTGTTCATTTTGAAGGTTTGTTTAAAAGTATATAG